GAAAAGTCCTTTATAACTCAAATCTAATAACAACAATCTTCTCAATCCTGTCTTCTATTTTGCAGCTATCGTCTAAAGACTAGATAAACGTCTATTGTTTTTAGTAGGATATTACTAAATACCAGAGCCTCGTAAACGGTAGGTTTGAGAGAAAAGTCCTTTATAACTCAAATCTAATAACAACAATCTTCTCAATCCTGTCTTCTATTTTGCAGCTATCGTCTAAAGACTAGATAAACGTCTATTGTTTTTAGTAGGATATTAATCGCTGCCCCAATCTACTTCATGCAGATTTTCCTACTAAACTTTTCCGAGCTCTTTCCGAGCTCTTGATTATTGGAATGCACTTTTAGTCGTTGGCCTTTTACGCAAAGACTGAAGTCTTTTTCTAATTTATTCATGAGAGTTTTAGTTAATGTTTCACACTGATACTGTCCAGTTAATAAAAAAATAAATCTTAAATGTTATAATCATTAAAAAAGAATTTTCAATAAATAGTACCAATGACAGTATGTTGAAGCCGCTTATCTATCCTGCAGTAATACCTTGAAGTTCCGAAGTACATACCTGTGTATGTTCCTATGTTGCTATGTTTCTTTTCAGTATTTGGATAAAAATAATAGTTTTCAAAAATATGCTTTTAGGAATGCAAATATGATTAACTTTATGTTAAAACCTTTCTATATGTTTGCGAATTATATACATCATTTTTAGCTGTTCTGTAAACAGTATACTCGGCTTATATGTTATTTATATATCAATAAACTCCAGTCGTTGAATTATTGAGTTTTTGGCAAATTCTTAAAAATATCATTATCAGATTATGTGAGTTGTAAAAAAGAAGTAAATATAAAATTTAGGTCATATCATGCTAAGTCTGAAATATGAGATGCTACATTTGATTATCTAAAGAAGAGTGAAAAGAAATGCTATGTTAGATAAGGCCGAAAACGATGTCCATGATATCGTAACATCCGGCAATAAACCGAAATATAAAATGTTGGCATAAAAGGTAGGTTAGAGTTAATATAAAAAAATAAATAATGTTATATGGTCGCCTGTATATAGAGTTGAATAGGCAAATGATGAACAAAGAGAATTGATAACTGTAGATTTAAACAATCTAATGCTGCCCAGTCAAAATCAAATAGCATCGTTTAACGAGTTGTTGTAGGCGTTCCTAGGGCTTGACTTCAGAGATGCTGTTCTAAAGAGTTGTGGGGAGTAAAACAATTAACGAAAACTGTGTAAATAAAACAATCTTTAGATTTTTAAATAATAAATCTATACCTATATGTTTTATTAAAATTGCGATATTTCTGTTATTTTATTTCCATTTCATTTTCAATATTACACTTAAGCAATTTATTTCTCACATAATTTTAGATATAAGTCAATATTTTTATAGTATATGAACGATTTTTTACCTTTAACTAAAATCGCTTGCTTCCTGGTTGATTGATCGTTCCCCGATAATGAAAAATTTTAATGATGGAAACATTTCAAACAACAGAAAATCCAAGAAATATCAAATAACAATTAAATAATTTGATATGATAACGTTTACAATTTATTGATATTAACAACAATAACAATTAATAAAAAAGCAAATAAAAAAACAAAGCTAATTAATGCCAAGAACTTATATCGAAAGTATTTGAAATAAAATTTGAATCTCAAATTTCTCTAACCGGGCCAACACTGGCCACCGAATGCAGCTGAAATGGTAGAACGATTCTTATATTTCCACTGATTTTGGTATATGAAAGTCAAAACATTTTAAATGATTAACTTGAAAAATAATCAAAAATCAAAACAAAAAAATTTATACTTTTTTGTGGAATTTATTTTTTATTATAATTTGAAAGCGCCAGACCCCAGAGTGAGTGGTGTAAAAAAAATGCTTTGTATTAAGCCTGCATTTGGGGATAATATGCGATCACGCAAATGTCGCGTCTGTGACATGTTTTGTTGTCGTTCATCGCTTGGAGACCTACGGCTTTGCCGTTTCATTCAAATCCAACGACACAAGTAGAACAGCTCAGTGCAGCACGAGGCTGGCATGAGATTTCGTAGTCTTGAATTAGCTGAAGTTTTCGATGCTAACGATACTCTTAAGTATTTTGTATTTAACGCTTTTGGCTTTTATTGTTGTTAATGTAGTGGTCTGTTGTTGTTTTACTTACTGTTGTTAGCGTTGTTGTTGGTATTAATATTATTGAATTAATGCGCGGCTTAATCCTTCAAGATCGCAGATAAAATGCATCATTATAATATTTGTTGTGGCAGTAGTTCCCCTGACACCCTTTTCTAGTACGCTACAAATGTGGTAGGCATATTGTGGTACTAAAATAAAATCAACCACTCTAAGCTATCTAAGAAAATTGGTATGCTGATCAGAAACTTATGATGAGTTCTGGGCTTAACTACATTTCTCGGTTTTAGTCTCTAGCTTGAAAGATTAAATAAATATTTATTTAACGTGTGATAATCTGTATTTTTACAGATATTTTTACAGTTCAATATTGGAGATGAAATTTCCTATATCTAACTTTATCTAAAAATGCGTCACAAAACAAAAAAAAATACTATAATAAAATAAGAAATACTCTGATAAGTGTAATAGTTTCTATCTTTCTTTATACCTTCTTTCTGTGGAAAGATTATTCTTGAACTATTAGAAAACCATTTAAAACATTTACAATCTACTTGATGCCTAATTGAATCCTTTGTAAAAGTAATTAAGGTATTGTCATCCTTCTGTTAGATATTGCTACATGTTGATAACGGGATGGAGATATTATAATAATAACTGCTTTATTTATTTAGAAGTCTTTACCAGTAATGCCGTCACTTCAAAGAATTTAATTTAAGTCTATATATATTTTTGTTTATCAAAAAGAATTTAAGGTAAAGTATTGTTATTAAAGTAAAAATCGAATAAAAAAAAACTAAATACCAAATATCAAAGAAATATCAGCCTATAAAGCCGCATATGTATTACAATATAATCAGTTTTTAATACTGATTTTGACAATTTTCCCAAAACCCAAAATTTTTATATTGATAATTGGGATCGGGATCGGAGATTGGGATTTTGAAATATGAAGAAAGGTAAATTGGCAACTAAATCGTAATCTTGTTGAACTATAACTCCCATATAATTACTTGAGTTAAATATTTTATTAGCTTGTTCTATAAAAAATTTTGACTATATACAGGGTGATCAAATTAATACTATATACGTGTTTCTCAAAAGGCTAACGACCATAATTTCTTGATAAGTTATTTTGAAAATAAATTAAAGTTGAAGACTGAATATAAGCTTGTTTAAATTTATTACAAAAATAATAAGTTTCTTTGGACCAGGTCTTTTGTTTACGTGAAATTTATGGTCAACATAATCGATCTACAGGGCTTACTTTTAGTAACGCAATTTTCCAATTTCCCAAATTGGAAAATTCGGGTAATTGGGTAGTGTTTGTGATGTTAACAATTCAATCTAGCGAAAACGGTAACGTGCTGCTGAAAATATCGATGCTTTGAACACACGTGTGAATGAAAATCAATTAGATATGGTTTTCAAAAACTTGTACTTATGTTTTTATAATACCTCATTGAATGTTCTTTATAAAATATCTAAAATTCAGTTGATTCAAGAACAGTAACTAAACTACCCTTTATAAGAAAGAATTTTGAGAAATTTGAGACATATTTATTATTTTATAGTAAAATTATCTTTAGCGAAAAAGATCCTTTTTGCTGAGACATCTTCTTAAATACACAAAACAATTGTATTTGAATTTGAAGAAAACCCATAAACTGTTAACAAAATTCTCCAAAAATCGAAAGTTTGGTGTGGTTTATGGTTTCTTTTAAACTAAAAATGTCATTGCAGTTAACGGCAGAAGAGGCATTGTCAAGATATTATAACCTTTTTATTAATAACATGACGTTAATGTATTCGTTTTGGATGATATGTGGTTCCAATGAGAGATGCAACACTCATAAGATTTTTGAAAATATATGGATTTTATTTGATTATCATTTATTTAAAACTCTTTTGGGTAAAATTTGCTGTAATCTCGCTTAGGTACACTCAGTTAAACTTTCAGTGTACAATACACAGTTGTAAGTAATCCCATATTAACAAAAATTAGTGAAATAAAAAAGCAGAAAATGTGATATTTTCCAAATGTGCGTGTAGCTCTTAACTTGAGTCAATAATACCGTTCACACAAGCCTTTTCTGAAAAGTATTAGACGCAATATTGGACATGTACAAGTAGATTCTAAACAAGCGATTAACTGACATTAAACTTGAAGGTGCGCGCGCTAACGTTGTTATGGTTCTGTCTGATTTAACAGTTCTTGACCGTAAGCTGACTGGAGCTCTATAAAGTTGTATGATATGGTGTGGATTTGAATGGTGCGTGGTGGCTGTGGCATGCTCTGAAGTAATTGGTGTGGCACTGATTTTTATTAATAAGTAGATAATATAGCACTTTGTGTATGTGGAAGTACTTTTAAGCTTAGCATAGAAATCAGATGTTTCATTTTGAAACAACTTCCGCAATACTTAAAGCGTATTTAGGAATAAAATATTAAAAAATAACTAAATTTCTTTAATATATAATACATATACACGTAATAGTTATTAATATAAATAACATAAAAATATTTTCAAATTTGAAATATTTCTCCCAGAAGTTAAACTTGCATATTAAATTATCACTTCATTCTAATTGATCATAAATATTTCCAATTATGACTACTTAAATACTCATCACAAAGCTTAAATATTGATAAACTCCTTCTATCGATATTTTAATCTCGGAACTTTTGGATTGTCGTCTACTGTTTTTCTAATCTGATGCGAAGTATGCCACACATGCCAGAAAATTTAAGCTCATCAATTCAACTTAAGATAAGCAAGTGAAGAGGTATTCTTTGTTGTGATTTGTTTTAGTGTATGATCAGAGTTATTAATTGCTTGAATATTTAAAGTGTGGTCTTACGATCCTTATATATGGGAATATTTAAGCCATTTGAGCGGACTATACAACCTTTAAAAAATATTAAGAGATTCCTAAAAAATTCGTAAAATTCGTAAAATTTTGTGATATTGAACTTTAAGACTTCAATCTACTAATCGGAATTAAATGATTTAAGAAGAGGTATGGAAGTGCAATACTTGCAAATCGTTTAGAGGTTTGTATTTTGAAAACAATAATATCAAGTCGAGAAAATTGGTTTCTTCATCAAAGAGTCATTTTTCCATTCTACTAGACATGTTTCACATTTTTTTTCGAAAATATCGACAATATACCACTTAATCTGAGTTTTGAGCAAAAGTCTGAAGTTTATATATCTATTAAAGAAATATAAATCAAATGCACATATTAAAGATAATTAATAATTATTTTATTAGTTTTATTGAATTTTATTTATCTTTTTACCTCGATGTCTTTGTTTTAGTATTGCAAAAAATTTCAAAAAATATGATATGTTATAATTCTCAAAACATTGGTGTCCTGCAAGTAATTTTTTTAAGCAAATATTTAAAGTAATATATATAAATGAATGGAAATGAAATATGGAGAATAGGACGCAAATTACAAAATCACATATTGATATCAATTTGACTTGGTTTATATTATGAAAAAAATTTTTATTTCATTTGTGCGATTTTAACAAAGAACATATTAATACAGAATGCAATTTGTTTTCCATATAAATTGGTTCCCATTATGTTTTTAAAGTAGTTAGCTAACATTTTTTTAAATTTTTTGTCTTTATGGTACTGTTTGATGGCACTACAATATTTCTTTATTTTATTTTATACATTTGAGTAAACTGACTGATACTTAAAGGACAACTCTAATAAGTGGTAAGGTGTTTTTAATATGCGGCTTATTTATTTTATATGCATATTGCGTATTCTATTCTTTTATTCTATTTTCATTCAACTATTTTATGTGATAAATTTGTAACTGTTTCAAACTATAAAATTTTAATATCTTTCTGGTTTTTGGTTTATAGTAAAATCCAGTTTGGGACTTGAATTCATTACCTCCAGGTCAAAAAATGCCCGGATTTTGGAAATAAAACACACAAATTAGAATTTTATTCCAAATTTATTTTATCTCCTTCAAAATATGCTCCTTCTGAAGCGATACACATATGCCAACGCTTAACCCAATCTTCCACATACTTTTCGTAGGCCCGTGCAGGTATGGCTTTTAGTTCCTTCGGCGGATTCTCTTTTACCGATTCAATCGACTCAAAACGCTTATCACGAAGGGGCAATTTGAGCAGGATGTGTCGCACGGCGCCAGATCTGGTGAATATGGTGCCTCAGCGATGACAGTGCCGCCGTGTGTGGTCAAAAAATCGCGTACAACAAGAATTTTCCATACTAAAAAGCGCTAAATGCACTTGAGGTAGTCTCACATTAACAGCTGCTGTAAACAAACTAATTGACAGATGGCGCTCAAATTTGTACCATATGTCAAGAAATGGTGTACCAATATAACAAAGAATTTTTGAAAAAGGTCTATTATTTAAGGAGTAGTTAACAGACAACAAAATCCGAATACTTTTTGAGCAGAAGGTATATTAAGAACATGGACAACAAATTCATTTATAAAATAAAGAAGATTTTTTCTTTGAAAGTAATTTTGTATTATCGAATAAATGGGAAAAATTAAAGAGAAAAGGTAGCCGGAACCGGTGTTTGGTGTCATTCAACTGATCGCGTCTACTAATATTAGAAGTCATTATTTTACTAGTGTATCGGTGGTCAGTCAAATTAAATTAAAATATAGCAGTAAAAATATAGTAAATAAATAGCAACTAATAAACTAACAACATTTTTTCATAAAACTTTGTAAAGAATATAGAAGTTTTGATGAAGCTATAAATTTACAAATCATTAAATGCATTCACAAGTTCAACATTCAAGCAATAATATTTATATTGTGTTAAAAAAGACACGTTTCAAATATATTTATTTGTAGTTAGATCATCTATTAGAAAGGATGAATTGAAGTTGAGTTTTTGTGTTTTAATTGAACGTTAATATATTATTTTGAACGCACTACAAATAATATTTTTAAAAAGCAGAGCAAAGTATATCTTTAAAAAGTATTTTTATACTATATGTCAGATATTTTATAAAAATAGACACAACAATATCAGGGCGATGGATCTAGCAATCCAGTCCCTTATTCTTAGTTAACTTTAAAATTAATTTTAATATTAACTCATAAATAAATAAATATATATTAATTAATTTTACTCCAATTATTTTGTTATATAGTAATTGCTTCTTCACATATTCATATAATTGAATTAAATGTATGTTCCTATATATCTATATAGATGTACAATTCAATACATGTGTACATTTTGATGGCGCTTATGTAAACTGATCCAACGGTATTATTATGAAATTGATATATTCTTATGATGTACTTTTTTGACGGTTTTTATTTAAAAGTTTTCTTATCAAAAAATTCCATCAAAGTGGTTTTAACTTCTTTCTTCTGAACACAAAAGAATTGGGAGTATTTAAATTATCTTAACTATATGAGTAGAGAAAGAAGAATGCTTATAAATGTTTGAACAAAATTCAATGTCAAAGTCAGAAAATTTTTATTATTATTTCTTTTATTAATTCCACAAATAAATATTGTGTCAAGTGTATCAATCGATCGTTGTTGTTGATAATGTGGTTTGTAATAATAATGATAATGAAGAAGATGAAGTTGATGACGATGATATGTTATGCGACAGAAGAATGTAAATGGTGCAATTGGGTTTGGCGTTTCTCTCAAAGGTGGACGTGAGAGTTTGGACCACCTGTAGTTTTTTACTAAAAAACTTTAACTGGCAAATAAAAAAAAACAGATAGCTTTTCTTTGTAGTCTAAAGTACCAGCCACTTAAGGCTTACAGTTTGACATCAAGGAAAAGTAATTACATTTGTAAGTGA